CGCCGATAGTATCGATATGTTTCGATTTTATTTTCGACAGTTATTCATTTTCATGCGGTTCTTAAAGATTCTGATATATTTCAAACAGTATAGAAAAATCGATCGAAATTAAGGATATATGATTCTTAAAAAGTAAATTCTCAAATGCAAGATTTGATTTTTCTATACTGTTATTATTTATTACAACAACCTAATCTCGAAACGAAATACACATTTGAGTAACCCCCCTTTTAGGAGTCCGATTCACGTGATTTCGTCGATCTTATTATTCGGGGGGGGGGATTACTACTACGGATTTCGTGATTTCTAACTATTTTTTTTTTATTGTGATGATAATTTACAAAATGCGAAGAAGGAAATTATTAGTGCGTTTTCTTCCCCAACAAAATCCGAGAATATCATCCATAACATAGAATAAAAAATTATTACTTGTTGTTCAAAGAAAAAATATTTGTTTTCTTCCGTAAACACAACGCTTTTGCTACTTTAAAATTAGTAACATATTTGTTTGTTATTATTAAAAGTATCTCGCAGAAAGATGTTAGTGCTAGAGAGTTTTGTTGCATATAGGAATTCTGCCAAAGGGTCCACCACTACATAGGAATACATTAAATTCATGATAATTATACAATGTCTTTAAACTGTAGCAAAATATAAAAATATTTCTGCCTATAATAATTTATATTTCATTTTTATTTTACAAACCGTTTCGAAAATTGTTCTTGGATAGGACAAAAGTTGACAGGAAAGTATTAAAAACTGGTCTTAGTTAAAAACATCAGAACTGCTAAATTTGAAAAAAAGTATGGGCATTCATGAAATCCTCAAAAAACTCTACGATCTTTAAATCGAATTGTGGGGATTGTTGTTCACCTATAAAAAGCTTCCCCAACATAGAATCGAGTTAACATGTCTTATATATTATAGTGAATTTGAATTTTGTAGTGGTAGACACACTACAGTACTCCCCCACCATAATTATAGCTGTTATAGAATTCGATGAATGGATACCACTAGTTGATTTATTGCTGTTTTGTGAAAAGCAGGGAGAGCTGCTTTAAGATCACCGTACTTTTGAGTGCTGATCGTAAGAGTTGTATTAAGTTCACACTCATGTTGCTTTTAGTAGTCGAGTGAATATGTTGTACGTGTTCGAGTAGCAACTGCACGAGGAGGACAATGTCGCAGTCACAAGTCAACTGTTCAATGTGGACGATCCAACGAAGTAAGCATGTTCAAATCGAAGTGGGAGTTTCGGTGAAGGTAGGCGTGTTCACATCACGTCCGGGTCACCAATGTGGAAAGAGAAGTTATAGACAATGTCAACTTTCATATATGAAAGTTGCCCCATCATAGAATCGAGTTAAATGTCTTATATACTACTGAATTGGAACTGTAATATTGTAGTGGTAAGACACACTACAATGTCAATGCATCCAATAATGCACAAAAAAGAAAGACCCTGAAGAACTTTAGATTTAATGGTCGAATTTTCACAAGCTAGGAATGAAACTTAACTGTTCGTGGGGGTAACTTAAGCGAATTGAAAATTTTTTGAACAGTCATAAAATTCGTTTATCAAAAGATAACCCCAGACAAAAAATATTTTTAATAATTATTTTTTTAATATTAGAGAGAGAAAAAAATTGTAATCAGGGTTTCCACTTAAAATTAGAGAAAAAAATTCCGTATCTTTCCCTGGTATTTCAAGGTTCACTTTTTGAATCTTCAGCAAAATCTCGAAAACAAAGTGAATTGAAAAAATTTTTGTGCGCAATTATAAAATTCGTTTATCCAAAGATAATTCCAGGCAAAAAATAATATTTGATAAGTTAAGTGACCAGTCATTTTTTTTTCATTAATAGATAAAAAAAACTATAAATTGTAATCAGGATTCTCACTTTATCTTAGAAAAAAAAATTCTATAACTTTTCCAGGTATTTCTAGAAAATTTCAATGCAAATCTAGACCATATATTATCTGTACATGCAATTCTTCATGAGAAAAATTGTGTTTTTTTTTATATTTGTAATGTCAAATATCAGGTTTTGAACAAAAAAACATCATTGAATGAGGATTGAAACATGGAAAAGTTTCACTAAAATGTGGAACTATTACAACAAATAATTGTGTTAGATATTAAAATTATTTAAATCGAATTTCAATAACTAATTAGTGTTACTAAAAATTCTAAGACCAGTTATTTTCCAGGTATGATGTAGAAATTTTCTAGGATTTTGCAACAAAAAATGAACTTTTCTTGTTTTTTAGAGTCAAAATAAAATTCCCCGACAATTTCAGGTTTTGCGTCTTCTCCCTGACCTATGGGATAAAAGACTTTTTTCGATTTTTCAACAAATAATAAGCACTCAAAAAATATTTTTAAGCACTTTCCAAAAAAAAAAAAATAATAATATTATAAATAGGATATGAGAAGTAATAAATTTTTTTATTCTATTGTTTAAAGTTTTTAATTTATAAACATAAAATGAACAAAAACATTTCCAAAAACTCTCCATAATCAGGATAAAATAAATAATTTTTGATAAATATTGCAAAGAAAACAGTGAAAATCATGCTCTTTTTGTAATTTATGAAGACAATCGACAAGGCAAAGAAAAAATCTCTTTTTAAAAGATAGAAAGTTAAGCACTTTTTACAAACACCAAACAAAAAAAAAGCTACTTTAAGTTCTTTTAAAACTAAAATAAGCACCTTTTAAAAACACTATGCACCCTGGAAATGTATAAGAAATGAAAAACCGTGTTCACTGCAATTTGACAGACAAGGAAAAAATATTTTCAGTGATCACTTAAAATATCTGCACAAATAAATTAGCATATTTGAGATCACTCCCATGTTTGATTCCCAGTACCTATCTAAAAAAACTGATTATTAGATCAAAAGTTATTAAAAGTGTTTCGGGTTAATCTTTTGCACACTATACATAGATCATAGACGTAAAAGGCATAGAAATCAATTTTAAATTAAGCATTTTTAAGTAAATGCAATTAAATAAACAAACGGGTCAAAATTATTCAGTCATAACAATTGAAAATGTTGGTTACTTTGGTGCTTAACAATAGCAATGTTGGTGCTTAAAAAATGCGTAGCTCTTTATTTTCTAGTTTAAACTTTTTTTTAAATTTCTGATAATCCCAAAAATATACATGATTAAAATTGCAAGGCATATTACATAACTGATAGGAAAGAATTCGAATCTTAATTAGTAGTTTGATATGAATAACTAAAAAACAACATTTTGTATATGTATCCACTTCAGGCTTAAGATCAACAGCGTGGCACAATTTAGAAGCATTTTCATTAAAAAAAAGGGGTATATTTAATTAAAATTATATACCCAAAGATAAGTTCACTAAGCATAACACTTAAAAGTAATTTAAGATATCATATGAAGTATTTTCTAAAATTACATGAAAAATTACTTCTACAGAAGATCAGTGTGATAAAAAAAAGTTTGTTTATAAACAATAAAACAACCAGACTGAACTGTAGGTTAGACTCTCGGATTCTTAATTAAAACAAGAATAACAAAAATTTCGTTCAAATGATGAAATTCTCTTTTATTTACAACTCGAAAAGCAGTTTATAGGATCTCTCTGGTCCCATACCTCAAAAATGAACTCACCAACTTATAAAAATTAAAAAAAAAAAAAAATTCTAAAAAAATTATCAAACACCACGCTTGTAATGACGGCGCATGCTCACTGTCAGTCTTAACACCAACTATTAAATCTTTTAAAATTCTACTTTTATACGTCTACAATGCAGGGGTGATTGTGAGCCCAACTAAAAAAAATCCTGAAAATTTCTTGAGTAAAATCATTGATGATGCATTTCAAAAAGTTGCATTTATTATTCTACAAGAAAAAAATACCAAGTATAAATTCTAGTTCTAATATTTTAAAATAAAATATGCAAGAGTTTGTATACATAAATGTGATCGATGATTTCTTGAAACTTCTGGACCTGGGATTTCTGGAAACTTCGGGATCGCAGTTAGAGAAAAATCCGGATTTTTTCCGGGGCACAATCATTTTTGACGACTACATAAAAAATCACACAGGTTCATTGAAACATTTTTACAACATTTATTTTTCAAAATAAGAACTGCAGGCAAAAGTGAAGTAAAATTAAAATGGAAAAAAAAAAAAAAAAAAAAAAATTAAAAAAAANTACAAGAAAAAAATACCAAGTATAACTTCTAGTTCTAATACTTTAAAATAAAATATGCAAGAGTTTGTATACATAAATGTGATCGATGATTTCTTGAAACTTCTGGACCTGGGATTTCTGGAAACTTCAGGATCGCGGTTAGAGAAAAATCCGGATTTTTTCTGGGGCACAATCATTTTTGACGACTACATAAAAAATCACACAGGTTCATTGAAACATTTTTAAAAAATTTATTTTTTAAAATAAGAACTGCAGACAAAAGTGAAGTAAAATTAAAATGAAAAAAAAAAAAAGAATTCTAAAAATATTATCAAACAGCAGCAATCGCCAGAGCAACGCTTGTAATGACGACGCATGCTCACTGTCAGTCTTGAACACCAACTATTAAGTCTTTGCAGGGGTGATTGTGAGCCTAACTAAAAAATCCTGAAAATTTCTTGAGTAAAATCATTAATGATGCATTTCAAAAAATTGCTTTTATAAATTCAAATCATAGATATTTTCAAAAATATGAAATTCTAAATAAATTATATATATAATTGCTGAATAATTATGTATAAGTTTACTTACATCTCTATTCACATTTATTATTGTACAAGAAAAAAATACCAAGTATAAATTCTAGTTCTAATATTTCAAAATAAAATATACAAGAGTTTGTATACATAAATGTGATTGATGATTTCTTGAAACTTCTGGACCTGGGATTTCTGGAAACTTCGGGATCGCGGTTAAAGAAAAATCCGGATTTTTTCCGGGGCACAATCATTTTTGACAACGATATAAAAAATCACACAGGTTCATTGAAAAATTTTTAAACAATTTATTTTTTAAAATAAGAAATGCAGACAAAAGTGAAGCAATTAAAAACAAACATATTTACAAAAGTTTTTGAAGTTCTAGATCAAGAAAACAATTTCATTAGCAACCATTAATTGATTGGCTTCGGTCATCGCATCCAAAGCAGTATTTATTTCTTCAGGAGTGAAAGGATGTTCTGTTTCTTGTTCGCTCACATAATCGTTCAACACTTGGATAGGAACAGACTGTGCATGGCGTTCTTTAAAGAGTTTCGATATAATTGATCTGAAGTCTTTCATCCTGAGGGTATGAAGAAAAAAAAAATCAATAATAAGCAGTAAAGGGGAAAAAAGATCAGAGAATAAAATTTTGTAACCACAAGGTGAAAAACCGTGAAAATTTCATGTACAAAAAATTTATATTGATTTTATATACCATGCATGTTTCATAGTTGGCATGACTTTTTGAAATAAGATTTATATTTAAATTACCTATCAATGAAGAATATCACATTTTTACAGAAACTAATGTAAGAAAAATCTTAGTTCTCACAAAAATCATGTGAATATGAATTGTGATATTGGATTTTTAAAATGCGCGAACATGAATCACATTATTGGATTAAAAAAACACGTAAATACGGATCACGACGCGCATCGATAATTTGATTTTTGAAATAAGAAAATACAAATCATAACAATGGACTTTTAAATTACGTAAATTGATGTTTGATATTTAAACCGCGATATTAGAGGATTCCAGCGAAGTCCAATTATTCATAATGGTAAAAATTGGCCAAACCAAAAGAATCATATTGGCGGTTTTCTGCCCATTTGCGGAAAAATCATGTGTATGGAAGGGGTTTTAGATGGAGGAATTCCGTGAAAATTTTGCCTGAGTATAAGTATTTGATCAGTGAAAGTCGGAGAAACAATGGTCTTGAGAAACGTGGAATTTCGTTATATTCCCCGAAAAATCATACAGAGTGTTCACCTTCCAATGAGGTGAACCAAGTTCGAAACCCAGGTATTGCTGGTCAATACAAATTCCACAGTGTTGACGTAAAATATCCTCAATGGTAGGAACATTGAACGGATCATGGGTTCGAGTCCCCTTGCCGCCATGCTTTCCTCTGCTTGTAACGCAAATGTAGGTTAGTTCGATCAAAAAGTCCTCTATGAAAGCAAATTTCGCCCAATACTTGATCCAGAAGTTCCCTTGTTTTCTAGGTCGGGTTCAAAATTACAAGGCTATGGAATTGAACATTGGTAGTTGTAAGTAAAAAAATTGGGTTGACTGTTCAACAACAATAATAAAATAAAATACTTATTCCTTTAAAGGCCTGTTTAGACGATCCAATTTCTTGGACAGAGATTGATTGATATTGATGGAAACTCGTTTTGCTTTGAGCTTGGATCGTGTAAACTATCATCCAAGAACTTGGTCCAACTTCTTGGACAATGGTAGAGCATGTTCTACATTCCATCCAAGTTTTTTCTCCCTTAACCAATCAGCGTCTTAGGTTTTGTGACGTCAACAAGCAGGCAGCAAATTATGTCATTTTGTTGTCTGTTTTCATATATTTTAGTCCAAATAAATTGATCTGTTGCGGTTTATTTGAGTTATTATGATTTTATTTGAATTTATTTAGTAATTTTAAACTTATGTAAGTATTATTTTATAATGTTGAATATGAACAATGCGCATGCGCTAGTTTTTCTTTCAACGAATCAGTGACATTCAAGAACGGTGTTACAAACATCCGTTATCTTTCCATTTATAGCATCTCTGATTGATTGAATGTTGGGTTAATGGCACAAAGTCCAAAGAAGGACATGCTGCACCAAACAAACGGTTTTAAAATATAGGTAAGGTTAATTGGGTCGCCGACACCCCCAAATATGGGTATGCGGGAAAAATTTTCATCTTGGCGCCATGACAGTCTCCCGCACAGCCGGAGGTGGACAGAAAGTATCTGCCACACGCACTGGCCGAGAGGCCCGTCGAAGCCCCTCAGTGGCATTTATTTAAAAACAATAAAAAAACATAATACTATTTTAGCAACAGCCCGGAGGCTATCGGGCAAAAATACAAAAGTAACAAATTCACCTCTATAAACATGTTTTACATGTATAGTTGTGATTATTCCGACTATTAACTATGAGGTGAAATTAAACATCTAAAGATTGATGTTTACAATAAAATATATCAAAAAATCAAGAAATGCTAGGAAATGATTGCAGAAATATGTTCAAGTGCTTGTTTTTCGTTACAGTATTTACATTTAAATAAAGGTAAATGTATATTTCAAATTTACCTCCTTAAAAATCATGCGTGACAGATGTATTCAAAAGTGAGTAAAATCAGATAAAATGTAAATGTAGTAAAGCATTATAAAACAATTGTATTCAAAGCTGAATAAAATTGCGAATAGGATAAAACAGTTAGATACAGTATAAAAGACCGATAGCGTGTAGAAAAGCAAAAATGTTAGGATGATGAGAGTCACCTAACAAATCCCGCAGAGTTAAAAATAGAACAACCAAAAACGGTTAGACGATGACAGTTAAAACATGGGCAGCTGATTAAAATATGATGAATAGTGAGTAAAACTTTACAGGTGTTGCATTGGGGAGGAGGTTCCCCAAATAACAAATGTAGGTGGGTAGAGCCGAGTGGCCGATTCAGAGACGGTTTAATTTTGCATCTGCATGCCGCAGACTCAATACAGGATAAGGGTTAAAAACTGTTTTTATTGAGTGCAACTTGTTATAAATTTTTAGATCCCATTGTTGTTGCGAAACAGATGTGATGAACTGTCGAATATAAGTTTTTGTGTTCGAGAAAGGTACAGATAGAGTTAAAATAGAGGTAGCAGATCGCGCAGCCGAATCAGCCAAGTCGTTCCCTGGGATATCAACGTGACTCGGTACCCAACAGAATAAAATGTGAAATTTATTTTTGTGAAGGGTTATCAACAGGGATGAGATTGGCCAAATGGCAAAAAAGCTGAATTTCCACGTAAGTAAATTTTACGTGTGTGTAATAGTTTCATAATAAATTGCAGGCAATTTAAGATAATAAACGAATGATTACATCGATACTTAACATTTAGTAAAAAGTAAAATAACCAATTGAAAAAATTAAGCTAGAAATTATATTTTTCTTCAGTTCACATAAAAGAGACAATTATTACTTGAGGAATTGCCCGATTTGGCAAATAAAAACTTTTGAGAACATACATTGACAGTCCCTTTCTTTTAATAAATACTGTTACGTGATTTATAAAACAATTGCATTCAAAAGTGAGTAAAATCAAATAAATCAGATAAACAAATAAACAAGATAAACAAACAAATAAATCAGAAACATGACTTTTAAAATTATTTAGAAAAGAAAATAAACTTTTACAATTAGAATTACTATGTTCATATTATAATCTAATCTAGCTAAAGCCCTGTGAAACATGTCAATAACTGTGAAGTAGAAACATATAGTAACTCCTTAACATACAAAAATTGCTATTTTAGTTTGAAACAAGTACACGATAATCAGAAACTCTTTAGATAATTATTTTTCATATGATAAGAATTTCGCATTTTATACCATAAATAACAGCAGCATTATTTTTTTAATTTTGGAGCTAAGTTGATCAACTTTTTTTCCACAAAAAATTTAATAACTTATTATAACAAAAATTGATAGCTTTTGTTTGCTATATCTTTTTTTTAAATTTTTGTTTAATTTGCTGCAAATGCTTCATGTTTTACATAACAAGCAAAAAGATCCTTTATCAAGGTCTGCTCGTAATGCAGCCTGTGAATGAGGGGAAACAGATTGGTGATTAATTTAGTCGTTAGCCCATCTTCAAACATCTTTTGACAAATCCTATTTTTTCTTTCTTCACCTGCCTTTGTCACAAGCTTCTTAGCTATAATTGATATTATTCGCGATAATCACGTGAATACAAATAGCGACCTTGGATTTTAAAATCGTGTGAATACGAATCACGATAATGGATTTAAAAACCACTTGAATATAAAGCTCGATATTCGATTTTAAAATTGAAAACATTTAAACTGCATATTAGAATTCTTAAATTGAGTATATACAAATCACGATGCATAATTTTTAAATTGCGTGAATGCGAATCCCAATGTCTTATTTTAAAATAAAGTATAAATACAAAAATCAATGTTTGATATTATAACCGCATGAACAAATCACGACATTGGATTTTAAACTCGTTTCAATATGAATCGCTACATAAAAATGGGTAAATATAAATTGTGATATTGGATTTTTAAATCACGTAAATAAGAATCGAAATGTTAGCAAATTCCGGGCTCGTAAAAGGCTCGTTTGAAGCAGCGATGTCTGAATTAAGAAAATACAAACTACCTGGCGGACAAGTAAAAATGCGGAAAATCTTATGTTCTGCGTCTAAAAGCGGAGAAAATAGCTAAAATAAGTAAAAATGTGGAAGGATTGGCAGCTATGTAGTTTGAATTTTCTGCTTAAATTTGAAAATCGGAAATAAATATAATTATTTCAATGGCTGAATTTTTCGAAAAAGTAGAATATTTATTAAAAAAAAGTGAAACTTTGAGATAAACGAGTTTTTGATAAAAAGGCTGAAATTCAAGAGGCAAAAGTAAAAAATGCAGAAAAATCTCATCCCTGTATTAATAAAACATAGAATCGGACGAGTATCACTGTTAAAATTTTCCAACTGCCTTAAAACACTCATACTGTCGGAGTATATGCAATACTTCCTTGTAGAGCGAGTGGAAATCAGCCGCAGTGCCAAGAGGATGGCAGCAGCTTCAGCAGTAAAGACAGAGCAAATACTTGGGATTCTGTAGTTATAGGTATCATCAGCGATAATGATGCCACCGCCCACATAACCCGCAGATTTTGATCCGTCAGTAAACACAGGTACATACTCTGAATATTGGTCACGATGAGAAATGAATAGTTGCTGGTAGAAAATGGGTGCAACATTAGATTTATTATGCATCATAAAAGGGGAATAAAATAGATACGGTATAATGTTCCATGGAGGTATGAGAAGATGATCCACTGATTGCGATGGTGATTTGCAAATGTCAAAAGTTTGAATGAGTAAACGCATGCGAGCATGAAATGGACGGACGTGAAAAGATCTAGCTGCATATAATCTCTCCAAGCTTGATGAAATTACTTAATGCTTTAGTGGATGATATCTAGAGGACATGATACGAAAGTAATAACTGAGAGATAGCTTCATGCGATGTAAATCTAAAGGTATTTGATTGCAG